GTCACTTAACTCAGGATAGTCCAGTGACTTCTCTAAAGGCCCTGTCTGGGCCTCTAAACTCAGCAGGGGGGAACACAGGTCTGCTCACGGGGAAGCACAGCAGGAGAAAGTGTGAAGTGAGAGAGGAAACAAGAATTGTGGTTGCTGGTCCAGGCTGTGTGACCCTGGGCAGGAAACTTGAACTCTCTGGTCTTCTTCCTGTTTTAACCTATAGAAAGATTTTTAAAAAAATAATTTATAGTCTCTCTTAGGTGAAATGATCCCCTCCTCCTACTGGAACTGTGCTTTTCAGAATATCAGAATCACCTGGGGTGCTTGGCTTGGTGCTGCAGTGGCTGCTGAGCCTGACCCAGGCCTGTGGATCAGGCCCTCATGAGCACGGCTGCGAAATCCACATTTTCACCAACTTTTGGGTGATCTTTAATGCAAGTTGTTGAGAGGATGGTGACTCTCTTGTTCACCTGCATATTCCAAAATCTAACCCAGCACAGAGACAAGGTATTCAATAAATGTTTCTTGGTGGGTGAATGAGTGTATGAGTGAATGCCAGCGAGGAAAACTGTGGCCGTCTGGCTTTTACCTAGGCAGATGGGGTGGAGGGCTGCTGCCTTACTATGGTCCAGTGTGGCTTCCTTCTCCTTCCTGGGCCAATTTCCCTTAATTGCCATAGATCTGTAAGGACCACAGTGCCATGAATTGGTAATATCAACACCACCACACATTTGTAATAATCCTTGGTGCCATGAGTTAATTAATAGTCCACGGGGCCATGGATCTGTAATTATCCACAGTTCGGATCTCTATGAATCCACAGAATCATAGATCTGTGATAATCAACAGAACCACGGATCTGTAACCATCTACAGTGCCACGTATCTGTCATGTTGGTCGCACAGAATATACTTTCTGCTTCCCCTCCCCGCCTCCTTGAGAAGTGAAGAATATTCAAAAGTCAACCATGACCCAGAGATTTGTTGTCAGTTTTAATAGGAGGGGTGGAGTCAAACAGTTGAGAGGAACGTATAAAAAGACCTTTTACTTTTCGCTGGAACATGGTATGGTTTGTGCATAGCACATACATATTAAAAAAATAGTGTCACATTTTACAAGCACATGACTCAACAAATTCTGAGTTTTCCCACATGCTGAACCCGAGCTTGAGGACAGCTCTGTGCTGGGACCCAGCCTGAGGTACTTGCTGATTTCTAGAAAGGGAAACCCAGGGGAGGACACGGCTGGTGAATGCTGGAATCTCGGTAGTTCAGTGAGGTATACAGACCTGGTTCCAGGTTGGCTCTCTGCACACTGGGTACATTTGGGTGTGCTCTGAGATAATCACTCCCTCCTCCTGTTCTGGGAAGAGGTGCAAGTGTGGCCCAGTGTGCTTCTGTCTGTCCTTCTGCCTTGTCCCAATAGCTTTGGCATTTTTCTGGCAGGAGACAGAATAAGAGTGGCAGTTCCTAGCTGGGAGGAAGCAGGACAAATATCAGGCGAGGGAGGGGCGATGCCAGACAATACCTGCTCAGGTACAATTGTCCCAGCGTCCTGGGGTGAAATTGTGGACACACACTCTACAGAGGTGTGTCCACATCAAAAAGAGCAGAAGAGGTCAGAGTGCAGAGAGTACATCAGCATCCTGTCGCCTCGGGCAGATACTTCCCCACTGAGGATTGTGGCACAAAACAGGCCAAATCCAGGGGATCGACTCTAAGGCAGGAGAACCACAGCTGGTGCCATTTTCTTCTCTCTTCTTCCTTCAGGACTTGTATAAATGAGAGCTTGGGGACTCTGAGGTTGGGGGTCACAAAAGGGGCCCAGAATCAACCCAGGGAGGAGAATTCCAGAATGCCCAGGATAGACCCATGGTCAGGAGAGAATTTCGGCTGGGGACATTGGCCTGGGGAGAAGCCAATATGTCAAAAGGAGAGAGGTTTGTAGCCTGGATCAGATGACAAGAGAAAATATCTCTTTCTTAAGTCAGAGAGTAGCCCTGAGCAGGATCTTGCAGGTGCGGGTCGGGCACAGTGGGATGGAGGATGGTGATGGGGCATTAATTACCAAGTTACATGCTGCTTCCAAGGGAGGTTCAGAAATGCAAGGGAAGTGGACAGGGAGGAGTGTGAGCAGGCAGTGAGCAAGTGATGAAATGAACATAATCAACACTTCCAACAGGACAGCTTTCTGGTCCCCCCTCCCCCATCTTTCTATTGTCCTGAGGAGGGTGCATATTTTACAAAGTGCCTGGGGAACACCCCCACCCCCTACTGTTTCTGAGCTAACCTCTTCCTTTAAGGGTGTGGCCAGAGGTTGCTCTTCCCTTTATTATTTGCTCTTGAAGAGGGTCTATGACAGCACCTGGGCTCCTGGACCCCCATATTTGTGTGCAGCTGCCAGAGAAGGTTCAAGATAGAAGAGACAATTAGCCCCAAAACTCTGTAAGCTGGGGTTACAGCTTGGGATTTCAGGGAGCTGAGGACTGAGGTCATGTTTAGTACCTCTTTAGCAGGAAGGTGGGGTTTGCTCTTTTTCCCTGTGTAGGCCATGTTGCCTGAACTTTCAGGGGGCTCAGTAGATTGGGTCAGATAGGAGACCACCACACTCTCACAGACACAGCAGGAGAGAAGGGGCAGAGAACCCCCTCTGCTCTCACTCTGCTCCTGCCCCTTCACCCACAGAATTGACTTTTCTTCTGCCTATGTTATTTAAAACCTTCGGGAGAATTCCTGTGAATGGGAAGGATGTTGAAGAGTCATGATACACTCCTACATCCAGGGGTGATCTTCAAAACAGCTGGCAGTGAGCATAGCTCGGGTCCTGGTTACCAGCTGGAACAGGCAGCAGACACCCCACTTGGTTCGGAGGCCCAACCCAGGAAATGTGTGTGTGTGTGTGTGTGTGTGTGTGTGTTACCACCACTGGGGCTGGATCTCGAGCCTGGCCAATCCTGGGCATGTCACAGCTTCTCCTCTCCCCCCCCCCCCCCCCAGTATGAGAAACGAGGGGGTGAGCACTTAGGGAAACTCCTTGTCAGGATTTGCCGAGCATGCTGGCGAGCCTCTAGAGAGATGCAGGAAAGGTCTAGCATCCGGGGCCTTGAGGCTCTCCTTGGAACAGCAAACCCTCTTGTACTGGGTTCGTGCGAAGATCGGGGAAGAAAGGAGCTGATGCTTTGGGACCTAACACCTTGTCTCCTATCCAGCTTGCCGTCTGTCTGTCCGCCCGGTCTTCTACACCCCCACCACCTTCCTTTGGGAATCCTTAAGCGGCCTCCGGTTCTGAGGGCTTTTGTTTCTTTTAAAGAACTGATTACTCAGGACCAAACAAGACTGCCTGAAAAATAGTCCACTTTGTCCCCTGCCTCCGGGCAGACCTGCCCTTCAAGTTCTCTTAACAGTCAAGGTAGACCAGGTTTCTCCCCGGCCCACTTATTCCCCAGCTCATTGCAATTTCATTCGAGGCTTGACTGTGTGTGCTCCTGAGCCCTGTCTGTTCAGTCTTTGCTCACCTAGGGTGGCCTTTGCCCACTCGCCAGCACACATGCTCCTGGTATTTGCCGGGCAGGGGAGGTGGCCTGGCAGTGTCTCTCCCCGATTGCCCGCCTCCTGCTTTGGCTCAGATCTTTCTATAGATGGACACATCTGCAAATAGAGAGGCCTGTCCTAGATGAAGTTATTTGCAGCAGATGAGGGGCTGTCTTGCAGGCAGGGGCCCCCCAGAAGTAGCAGAGGGTGTCAGGTCATCGTGTAACTCGATGGTTCCCGTCTGCTGAAAATATTTGAGCTCTGATCTGGCTCTCTCTGGTTTCAGATTTAGGAACAGCCCAATGATTCAGGAATCTGAAGGCTCCAGGCAGACAACATTTATAGTCACTTGGGGAGCCTCTGCTTTAAATACTCTCAAAGGCCAGGAGACATGAAGACACTGCAAGACAAGGAGCCACTCCAGCTTGGCTGTTTGGTTTCACGGGATTATCGCTCTTCTCTGCCTGGAGGGGGCTAGAGGGGCAAACTCTGGAGGTCAAGGTGCCCGTGCGATTGCATCCAGGCACCCGCGTGTGTGAGATGAGGATGACCAAGAAGGAAGTGAGAGTATCGGGTGAGAACTTGGGTGAAGTTCCTGGACGTAGCTGGAGAGGATTTATCATCTGTGATCCAAAGCCTCTCTACTTCCTTCATGCCCTATTTCCCAGCCCCTTGCCAAAGAGGTTGCCATTATTAGGATCCTTGTCATCTGAGGATAAAATAAGACCCGGTTCAAAGTGAGGAAAAGTTACGGGCAGGCGGCCTGGCCCTGGCCTGTTCTTGGAGCCACGTGCAGCCCTGAATCCTCCAGGCAGAAGGGCCCTCCACAGAACATCCAGTCCCTTCCTCGGCTTCCAGCAGGCCTTCCCCAGGCACCCTAGACACCACTGTGCCCCCTTCCCTGAGCAGGGAACCCCTCTCCCCCAGCTTCCCTGACAAGATCCCCCAGAGCCCTCCCAGGCAGGAAGTGGGCATGTTGCCCACTCTCTTTCCGGTGTACAGTTAAATCTTCCCTCTCTCCCCTCCCTCCCTGCACTTAGGGGACCACCGTTCCCCGTCACCCACGCTGCCTGTGCAGTCAGTGACCTCTGAACGGAAAGACGAATGGAAAGAGGCATCCCGGAGAACACATCCATCCTGCTGGTTTGACAAGTGACTTTGCAGACAGAGAGATTCCTGCAGAGAGGCTGCTGGGAGCAAGAAACCCGATGCTTTGAAATGCCTTTGCTGTGACAACGTATAGAGATGTATGGAAACACCCCAGCACCCACATGCTCCTGGCTTGGCCTTTTCCTGTGCACCTGGTCACATTCCATAGTGTCATCTGTATCGTCTTTCCTCAGGTCAGGTCGGAGCGCAGGTCCCGCTGCCACTCTGCAGTGCTGGCCGCAGCCCCTCTCCGGGGTGGTGCCGTGGCTGCCGGTGGCCAAGGGAACCCACGCAGGTCTCCCGAGGAGTCAAGGAGAGAAAGGGGCATCGTTCACATGTGCAAAATTCCGGTGGGAAAGATGTTGCTTTCACTTGTGAGCCTTCGTTCAAGGCACTACATCCTGGGAAGGAAGTGGGTGACGGTCATGATCGGGGACACCTTGCTGCCCCGCTTGACCCGTCCATATTTGCTCAGCGCGATGTAGGTCCCTCGGTGCAGGTCCGACTCGTAGGCGTTGTAGTTGTTGGGCAGGAGGGTTTCTCTGAACTTGCATTCCTCTTGGAAGCTGGGCTGCGAGAGAAATGGACGGTGAGGTTCAGTTATAAGCGGGGAGTGTGGCCAGCACCCCAACTTCCCTCTGCCAGGAGATCTAGGCCCTGGGGGAACAGGAAGGTTAGAACCGGAGGAGACCTTGGCTCTGTGCTGGTCCCCTGTCTCCCTCCTTCCTTCACCAGGACGAAAGCAAGGCAGGGAAGGGGTGGGTGGTCGGTGTCACATGGGGAGGAGCAAAAGCTGGAAAATTCAGGTCTTTTGACTTTCCGCTCAGGACACCTGGATGGTACTTTATTCCATTCAGGAAAAGGACTAGAAATGGATAGAATGAGCTGGTTTCCCAAGGCCATAGCAAGAGGCGGTCTCGTGGGGCAGGACATGACCGTGGGGAGGCTCTGCCTCCTCAGCCTCAGTTCCCTTCTCTGCAAATTCTGTGGTGTGGGGAGCAGGCAAGGGGCGGGGTGAGTAGAGGGAGGGATGAGCCCAGGTCTTTTCCAGAACTATCTGCTGTATATATCATCTGTATTTCCTTGGTCTTTCTTTTTCAGTATGAGTCCCAAGGTGCCAGCCCCTAGAGAAGCCCACTTTGGGTTTAGTTTGAGTCCTGTGTCTCCTAGACCTTCAGAGTTCTCCAGGGACGTGCAAGAACAGAGATGGTGAGAAGCAGCAATTCTTGCATGGGAAAAGACCCTGATCCCTGATGTGGCAGGTGGTGCCATGGAGTCTAGGGTCAGTGACAAATCGCCCCCTTGGTGCTAATTTGGTTGAGTAGCCTGCGAGCACCTGTTTGGCAATAAATGCTGACATCCCGTCCCCCATCAGCAAGTTCATTCCCAATAAATCACCCAAGTTCTCCTGTATTCCTAGAAAAGAGGGCCTTGTGCTCCCCAAGGCGTCCTGCCTAGGTGGTGCCAGGGAAACTGCCCTGTGCTTTACTTGGGAAGGAACTAGTGGGATCTAGAGGATCAGAGGGCAGGGCAGGAGACTGCAGGCCTGGGATCTAGTCTTTAAACTAATAGAGGGTCTCCCTGGTGGTGCAGGCGGTTGAGCGCAGCACTGTGAAGCTGTCCACAGCCTCTGCAGTGCGGGTTCGATCCTGGCCAGCCTGCGAGGATCCCACATGGCACAGCAGACCTCTCCTGTCTCGCCCACTGCTCCCCTCAGCAGTGTATTTCGTAAGTCTGCCTGTTCTGTTCCTCACTCTGTTTCTGGTGGATCCTCTCATCCTCCTGCACATCTGGCTTGTATCCCGGTTCTTGTATAAATAAATGAATCTTTAAAAAAAATAAAGGAATAGAGAAGGCAGCAGAGAGAAATAGATGGAGTATAACTTCTGACTCTCCTGCTGACAGAGGCCCTTGGCTATGAAAACACACTGGGTGGGCTGATGCGCTGTGCCAGAGGCATCCGACCTTCCTAAAGAAATCCAGGTGGGGGGCATGCTTGCTGGGGCACCAGTGGGGTTCCTGGCCTCAGAGGACAGTGTGTGAGCAGACCTCTCCTGTCTCGCCTGCTGCTCCCCTCAGCAGAGTATTTCATAGGGCCACCTATTCTGTCCCCCACTCTGTCTCTGGTGAATCCCCTTACTACCCCCCCACCTCTGGCCTGCACCCCAGCTCTTGTATGCATAAATAAATAAATCTTTAAAAAATACGTAATAATAAAGTTTCATGTATGATGTCATCATTCCAAAAGGAGCAACGATTTAAATGTTTGAAAAAAAGAACTGTGAAAGTGAGGCAAAAACATTTTAAAAATAATTTGAGTCAGGAATACCTAAGGATATAATTGGAATACCTAAGGATAGATAATTGGAAACCATAAAAAAAGGATAAATTTGAAGCCTGGAAAAATTGTCTTAAACAAAATGAAACTATTAATAGCAAACAGGATAAAAAAGCATTTACGATGCAGAGATGTCAAAGAGTATATTTTGTTACTGTGTTCAGAATCCTTAACTCATTGAAAAATAGACAATGTCTAGAATAGACGAGACTCAGAAAATTCTAAATAATTTTTAAATATATGAAAATAGATCCAAATAAACTCATGCCATTTGCAGCAACATGGATGGAATTGGAAGGGATCATGCTCAGTTAAATAAAAAGGAAAAAGAAAAATTTGGATAGTTTCGCTTATAGGAGGAATATAAGGGAATCAAATAAGAGATTAGGGAGGAAAAAAAAGACATTAGCAGGCAACTATAAATTGGAGACATACAGCAGGGGAGAGGGAGGGACAGTGATTAAAATGGGGTGGGGGAAGGCGAGCACAAGAGACTATGGTGGGCCTCCCGGTGGCGCAGCGGTTGAGCGCTGGGTTGTGAAGCTGCCCGCAGCCTCTGCAGCACCGGTTCGATCCCGGGCTGCTCCCCGGCCACCAGAGGAGGGTCCCACATGGCGCGCAGACCTCTCCTGCCGCGCCCGCTGCTCCCCTCAGCAGTGTACTTCGGTCCTTCTGCCTGCTCTGCTCCCTGCTCTGGCTCTGGTGAATTCTCTCACCCTCCCGCGCTTCTGACTGTACCCAGTGCATGTATAAATAAATTAAATAAATAAACAAACTAAATAAATAAATCTTAAAAAAAAAAAGAGACTGTGGTGATGGTTCATGGGTGTCTTGGTGGTGGGAATTTTATGGGCACTACATCTGAGAGGAGAAATCAAACATTGTACAGAAATGAACAATGATGTAAAATATATATAATATATACATATATATATTTAAAAGAAAAAAATTTTTCTCTTACACCAGTGAGGGAAAAATGTCAATCAGAACTTTGTTACATTGCAAAGAACAAGTGTTTGATAATATGCTTTTATTGGTGAGGGCAAGGAGATGGGGAATTTGCATTTAATGTTCATTGGTGTGTGTGTCGTGAGGCTCTCTAGGTAGAGCCATTGGAGAATGTCTATTAGAATAAAAAAAAAATGATTATAACTTTGGTGAGTAATTCTGGTCTAGCAATTTACCTTCCACTGGTGCACTCGCACATGTGTACGACAGTGACTCGCTGCGGCATTATTAATAACAACAACGGACAGAAGACAGTTGAAGTATCACAGGAAGGCATGGTTGACTTAACTCCTGCAGACCCACTAGAGAAACAATAAGAAACTGCTTTGTGCACTGACCTGAGATGGTCTCAAAGATTCTTTAAATGGAGACACAAGGTTGAAAACAACGAAACACAGAGCTACTGACAGTGGCTGCCAGGGACAGGGACTCCAGAGTGAGACATTATTTCCATGGAATATTCCTTTTTTTAAATTGTGTATGTATTACCTAGTCATATATATATATATTATTTTATATATAAAATAATATATAAATTATTTTAAGGAATTCAGGATGGAAGGAAGTTTAGGAAATGGAGTAAGAAAACATTTATTTCAGAAACTAGGGGTCTTCTCCTTGCCTGTTACAACCCCCCACCATTCCAACACCTAGGCCATTCCTGTTCTAACCATGCAGAGTGAGTCACACTATCAGTGTCCAGAAGAATTCGTTTCTGATGGGACAGTGGTTAAGAGAGAGGTTTCCTCTGTTGTTTGCAAACCCTATAGGGAAAATCAAATCTTGGGGCTGAGAGTGGGGAGGGAGAAATTAGGGTGCTCAGGAGGCATTTGCTCCTAGACTCTAGTCTAGGATGGGTCCACTTTGAGAAACCAGCCTTTCCAAGCCTCTGGGTCTCCTAAAACACCCACTGTTTAAATGTGCATGACAGTGACTATGCACGGTGCTTTGTTCATCAGAATTTGATTCTTTAAATACCCCCATTTTTATTTCCTACTATTTTTTCATTTGCCCCTTTTCTCAGCCTAGCTCACATTCCCAGACTGCCCCAGAATTCCATGCAAATCCAAAATGAGAGAGAAGTACATGAGATTTGCTTTGGAAACACTCCCTGACCTTTCTCTTGCCCATTCCATTCAGCAGGCCCCTCCCCGTCATCCCTGGGGTTCAGGTGGCTACCAGGGCCGTGGCAGAAGGCCAAGGCAATTCCCCTGGACTCTCTGATGCAGCTGATGCTTCAGGGGGTTCCTGTGGCCAAGATCAATGCTCCAGCTGGTGTCCAGCCCCAGCCCCTCGTGCACGGCCGTGCATCCCTGAGCTCTGCGTTCTCACGGCTCAGGAATGTTGGCGCCTCAGCTCTGGTGAGAAAGCGCTCACGCCAAGTGAACACCGTGTTAATAAAAGCAGCTACCATATATTATTACTTGAACAAATGAAAATAATTCCACCAGATCACATTTCCTGAGCCTGCCAGGCCTCTAGCCCCAGCGTGACAATGTCTTGAATTCCATGTAGGGCTGATCAGACTCATGTGGGACTGAACTGCAAAGCATTTAAGCTCTCACTATGACTATGGAGAAGGGCAATTTGCAGAAGGGTATTTCAGCATGAGTTACCTCCAGTAAAAATGCCCTTTAAAGTCTGGTGTAAACCAGACATCCACTCCCCTCCCACTCCTTATCTTTGGGCATGGCTGAGTCATGTGGGCCTGTGGAGGGGCATTCTTGTCTTTAAAGCTCTTCTTAGGGTTGCCCTTGGCTAAATGCCCCTGTCACTCCTCTGTGTGTGCATGGCAGAGGATGGAGCTGGAATGAGAAGCTGGGCAGTGAGAGACCAAAAAAAATAAATAAATAAATAAAATCCTGAGACCATTTCCTCCTGTAGTCCCTGACTACTTATTCTTTGTTCTTAGTTGCAATGGAGAAGTGACATTGCCAGCTCTGAAGAGGTCTGTGTAGTCTAACCTCTTGTCCTAACATGCATTTGCATTGGCAACTTAGAAGGGTTTGAAAGTGCTTTCACCTGGTGTATTCTTCTCATTCCTGTGTAGCTCTTTATAGCAAGCAGGTCACAGGCAAAGCCAAAGGCTCTGCTAGATGGGACAGCAGCTTACTGAGCCAGGGAGACTGGGATTCCTAGTCCCTCCCCCCCACCCCCACCCTACGCAATGCTGGATAATCAAAGGTCTCTGCAGGAAGCAGAGTCTGCACCCTGTCCTGCTGCTACCAATGAAAAGGGTGCGGACAGTCATCACCAGTAGAACTAAAATCACTCAAAGGCGAAACTGAATTCCTAGGAGCTTTTTATCATTCAGTATTTTCCTCAAAGGATTCTGATAGAACCACTGTCAGGTGCAGACCCTTGATTTATTTATTTAGTTAGTTTAAAAAGAATCAAGGCGCTAGGAATCCACTGATTGCTGCCTCAGTCTACTCCTGAGGGAGTAGAGAGGTCCAGGCTGGGAGGTCAGTGACTGCCCAAATGCAGCTGGAAAGTCTGGCCCCATCTGTACCTCAAATGCCCCCTGCTGCGGCCTTGCCTGCATTACCTGAGGAGTCTCAAGGCAGATCCAGTCAGAGCTCCTTCTATAAAGCAAGGGAAAGATCCCAGTCTTGGAAATCGCTCCTCCGGGTGTATGAGGAGGTAAATAATAGGTGCTCAATACTGGACACCTCTATTGTCCAAGGAGGGCGAGGCGTTGCCTTGAAGCTCTGCACCCCTCTCTCTAGAGGTGAGACTTGGGACGACCATTTTTCTAGCTGGGTTTCCTCTGAACACGGGTTGTCCCCTGCTCCGCTCCCCCAGCACGGTCCCCTCGCCCCGGAGGAAATCCCATTTAGTCCCAGCAGCTGAGCCCCTGGGAGAAGAGGCAGCTCCGGGGGCTTAAAGGGAAATGGTGTGAATGAAATCATCACCCAGCGGGAGTCTTCCTGGCTCCGGGGATCAGTTGGCGATTGTTTTTTTAGACTGTGCGAAGGGCCCGGAGGGGCGGTGAGGGAGCATCTGGAGCCCAACCCTGCAAAGCCCCGAGGCCCGGGCTGGAGCCCCCGCGGGGGAGACCCGGAGCCTGCTGCTCTGCAGCCTGCCTGCCGGGCCGGGTTGTGAGGCACCCGCAGACCCTCGCGCAGACATTCCGCTTCCCCCGGGCTCGGACTCCGCCTAATGGGGACCCTGCAGGTCTCAACCTCCTTGAACCTTTTTGGAATTCTTTTCCTAAAAGTGTTGCTGCGAGCGCCCCACCATCTCCTCCATCTGGACGCAGCCCCATTCCAAGACACAGCCCCAGCTCCCTTGCTTTTGCTGCTCTGAGGCCTGCTAAGCTCTGGACAGCGCTTCTTCTGATTCCCAGGCACCCCCAGCTTCTCCCACCAGGGCAGCCAGACTCCCCGACTCAGATGAATCCCTTTCTGGGCAAGGAGAAAGAAATACTAAATAGCTTGTTAGGAAAGGTGGCAAAAATAGGGCTTCTGTGCTAGTTTCGTGCTTCCTTCCAGATTGCTCTGCTCGAGTCCCCTGCATAGGATCCCATAGCCTAAACCCCAATTTCTGTGCCCTTTCAGATCAGTGGGAATCCAGGCACCCCTGTGTGCAGAGCGAGCACCCAGCCACCAAACTGGGGTGGGCCCCATGCTGCTGTGCTCTCAGTCACTTTTGCAGAGTGGTAAACGTGTGTAAGAATTGCAGGTACCAGGTCTCATTGCCTCTCCCCAGCCCTCCTGGGCCCTGCAGCCTGATGGACCCTAGGCCTGCCTGTGCCTCAGGAACACCTGAGAAACTTCCAAAAGAAAGACAATGAAGGGCCTCCCCGGTGGCGCAGCGGTTGAGCGCTGGGTTGTGAAGCTGCCCGCGGCCTCTGCAGCGCCGGTTCGATCCCCGGCTGCTCCCCGGCCACCAGAGGAGGGTCCCACATGGCACGCAGACCTCTCCTGCCACCCGCTGCTCCCCTCAGCAGTGTACTTCAGTCCTTCTGCCTGCTCTGCTCCCCGCTCTGGCTCTGGTGAATTCTCTCACCCTCCTGCGCTTCTGACTGTACCCAGTGCATGTGTAAACAAAACAAACAAACAAATATAATAAATAAATAAATAAAAACATGCCTCTATAAAAAAAAAAAAAAAAAAGAAAGACAATGAAATCAACTGGCCCCACCCCAGTTCTCCTTAAATAAGTCACTGAGGGAGGCCCTGGAAATCAGCACTTTTAACAAATCACCAGGCTACCATGTTAGTTCAGATGGTCCTCCAAGGAGTCTCACCTTGAGGAAAGTGGGGTGCTGTTTTGTGCAGAGCTCCTCATCCTCTTTAGACAATATAAGTGACTACCTGGTTCCAGAGTCCTCGGAGTACTCTTACCTAGTCTTCCAGTACCCCAGGGAGGGACAGTGGTTCTTTGCCCTCACTTGACAGGTGGGACACCGGGTCTCTGAGGTCTCAAGCCCAATCACAGCTGTGTGCAGACCTGCCTGGGCGCTGCAGGCAAGGCCACAGCGGAAGGGCCTTTGCTGTGCAGATTCGGGTCCTGAGTTTCAACTCCTGAATCACCTGCCTGCCAGCCACATCTTAGTTTTGCTGATTTTAGTCCATGCCACGTCCCTGTTTAAACTAACGCAGGCTGAAAGGTATAAGCGTGACAGATGACAGGACAGAAGCCACCTGGGCATCCCATTCGGGTGTCTAACAGACCTCTGTTGGGGTCATTCCCAGAACCGGGCACCAATCCCAGAGCTCTCTGTTCACTTCCTGATCCTCAGTCTGTCTCCAAGGGAGGTGCAACAGCCCTCCACACCCTCCCCATAAATAACTATGGTATTCCTCCACCATTGCTTCCTTTTTAGTCTTCTGATATCTGTCAGAACTGTCAGTTTCTTCAACTACACAGGGATGTCTCCCGGCCCATATTTTCAAATAAGTCAAATCATGAGCAGAGACACCCAGGAAAGAGTTGGTCAGAGAAAGCAGAAATTTGGGTAAATGCACTTCAGCATTGGCTAGATTAACAAAGGGCTAGTGCACCCCCTCCCAAGGTGGTCTGTGACAGAGAGGAAGAAGGAGGTGCCAGCCCAGGGGTATGTCAGGGAGGCCAGAGGTCGAAGGACTTAAAACCCTAAAATAAAATTTCAACACACTGATGGAAGTAAGGAAATTAACCTTCATCTCTATTCCTCCCAGGAGAGGAGAGTGCGCCTCTGGGGGTGGCCGTAGAGAAAAGCAGACTCAGACTGAAAGTCTCACTTCTCTGGGCCTCTTCAATTTAGGGAATTAAACCTGTAAGGCTGGATGACAGCTTGATGCAGGAAGGCTGGGCTCGCTTAGGCCTCATAGTCCTCTGAGCTATGGTTCTTGCGCGATCATGAAGACCGCAGCCAGCAGGGTGAGATCCAAGGCAGAGACTAACTGTGATGCTAAGGAAGAATCAGCTTCCATGCCCCTCCCTTGCACAGGCTCTGCCCACAACCCCTTCTTCTCTTATGCCAAATCTACATTCACTTTTCTCCTGGAGATGTTGCATGATCTTCTTCTCCATGCAAGGTCAGGGCCCATCCCACCAGGAGCCTCCTGGCCTGGTAGACTCACCGTTGTGTATAATCTTCCTTTACTGTTCATGGCAATGAAGAGGGCACTTTGCACGCCAAAGAGACTCACCACACCTCTCTCCACTGTGGAAATCTCCAGCAGGCCTGACAAAGAAATGGGGGCCTGTTACCTAAGGCTTGTGCAAATCAAAGGGATCTTCAACCAGGGGTGACCCTCCACTGGCATTTAAGCCCATGCCCCTGCTTCTAGAAGGTTAGACCATCGCCTTATCCCTAAGCTCACTCTAGGATATCCTGCTGCCAGACTTGGCAGGTCCTGCCACTGTACTGTTGACAAACCCAGTTCTGCAAGGGATGGTTCTGACATCAGAGTGAGGGATCACTGGGGCCACTTAGGTGACTACTCAGATTGACATTCACTGACTTCATTACAGGGCCCTTTGCCTTGGGTAGAAAAGCGAATTCTGATTAGTTCATTGATTTTTTAAAAATATGTCTTCCACAGGTTTCAACAAATCTGTTTGCAAATTAATCTTGCAAACACTGGAGCCACACAGAAGCTGATGGCTGCTGGGCCCCACCCTCTGGGATGGGAGCGCCTGCCCAGTCAGCAACGTGGGTTAAGCACCTGAGAGGGGGCAGTAGGCCAAAATTACAAAGGAAGGGTGTGCTTCAGCTGGAAATTTTGTAAGCTATTGGCTTTCCTTCACAAAGAAGCTTGTTAAATAAAAATAAACTGGTCTAATTTGGCTCCAACGTCCTCATAAGCCCCCCCCTCTCTTGCCTCATGGCTTCCCAGTGGTCTTAGAGTGGGGCCCGTGATGCTGAAGTGAGCAGTGTCCCGGGGCTCTGGAGGGTGGTGGGGAAGGGCACCAGGATGCTTGGACCTCGGCACGTCGAGCACGCACCTTGGCAAGGTGAGGCGGCTCTGATTATTGGCATCCAAATGGGGAATGACACCCCCCACCTATAAGACCCCACGCGCAGAAGTAAGTCCCCTTCATCTTTAGCCCCGGCTCCCACCTCCCCAGTAGGCTGCAAGTGGCACTCACTGTAGGGGTTCTCCTCGTGGGTCCCGCTGATCCTGCCGTCGGGGGCCACCTGCAGGTGGAAGCCGATGCCCACGTTGCAGTAGAGCCTCCGCTGCCGCTTGATTCCCACCAGGTAACCACTTTCCCAGTTCACCCCGGCAATCTCTCCAGCGAGCCCGGCGCGAGACCTGGACAGCAGCGTGCCCCAGCTGCGGGAGTCCAGCAGCGTGCTGTTGGCGCGGGTGCCTGCAGGCAAGGGCACCACCATGCCCGCTAGGACGCCCAGGAAGACGAGCGCCTGCAGCGTGCCCTGAACACGTCCTGCTCCCCGGGACATAGTGATGAACAGCCTCTGTCCCAGGGCCATCCACCTTGCCTCTCAGGCACGTGGTCAGAATTAATGTCCCTAAAAATACCGCCCTTCTTGTTTTTCTCCCCTCGGCATGGCGGCAGGGGCTTATTTTTGGAAGGCAGATGAAGGCTGCTGACATGAAACCAAAGCCTGCTTCGGGCACTTGGGTCGGGAGCAGCGAGACCCAGGCTGAGCCATGGCTGGTGGGGACCATGGCTTGGGGACGCTGCCTAGCTCGCCTGCTTGCTCCGTCCCGAGCCGATTATATTTGATTTGACCTATCTTTATAGTTCAGCAGCCCGGCCCTCCCCTCCACCCATCATCACCCTGACGTCAGCTGACCCGGCTCACTTATCCAGGGCTGTAACTTTAACCTGCTCCTGGGCCTGGCTGCCTCCCCAGACCCCCATCACCCTGCCCACACCCCAGGGATTCTGGGAGCCACTGTCATTTCAACTATGAGGCAGGAATGAAGTGAGCAGGGAGCATCTCTGCGAGGGAGGGAGGGGTTGGCTGGGGGCCCAGGAGAAGAGGGAGCCGAGAGGCCACCCAGGACCCAAGTTGGGCAGAAGTTGCTGGCCTCACAGCACTGGCTTCCTTATTTAGTGGGCAAAAGGGAAAGGCAGGCACGAGGGAAGACTTGGTGGTGGGTGATGACAGTGGTTTCCAAGGTACCCTGGGAAGAGCTCACATGGGGGTTCAGGAAGGCTGGGGGAACCCTTGAAAGACTGAACCCTTTTACTGAGAGGTGTGTGCAGATGTTGGGGGGTGGAGGTGCAGCGTTTAAGGAGCTGTAGGACTAAGGGGGGTGAGGAGGGCTAGGACCGGGCTTCTGCTCCCTGTTCAGGTCATGGCATTCACCCAGCCCGTGGGGTGGAAGCCATGCCTGGCCCCTGACATAGCTACTGGCCATTTTCCTGCCTGGGCTCAGCTTTGGGATTGGCTATTATTCCCATTTTACAGCTGAGGAAGCTGAGGCTTTGGAGCCTCCGTGACTTGTCCGAGTTACCGTAGCTAATAGGTGGCAAAACCAGAATGTACAAAGTCGGCCCGAGTCCAAACCCATGTTTTTAACTTCGGCGTGATTGCCGGTAGCAGAAGTTAGATTTCCAGGCCGGCCCACTATGAGCTTATTATATGCCAAGAGCATATCGGAGAATTATTTCAATGGCACAAAATGATTCAGCCACGCACCCACTGGAGCTGCAGGCAGCCTGAGGAAATCTGGGCGGAACCCTGATGCTCGGGGGCTCTTGGAGACACCCCCTCTTGCCCTCTGATTCCAAGCCTCCTGCTCAGTCAGACCCCAGGCTGTGGTTTCTGCCTGCCTTCGGCCTCTCTGCCTAGTTCATTTGGGTTGATGCTTGGATGAGAATTCCTGCCAAACCACACATTTCAGTTTTGCCCTAGATCTCTGAAGCCCAGACATTTCTCATACCCTCAGCAGGTGAAATGAGGGGGAAGGGAATCCACACACATCTCCTCAATATCACCCTCACATTCAGGCCCCCCAGGTCCCATCATCTCTGCTGTCTTCTCTCCAGCCTCGTCAGCAGCAGCAGCATCATTGTTTCCCACAGCAACCAAAGACTGGCATCTCGTGGGCACGGATGAAGGCTACTGCATAGGTCTTTGCTGGAAAATTGTTCAGATGATAATAATAATAATGATCATAATAATAACCAGAAAAGGAGGAGGAGGAAGAAGGAAAAGAAGAAGCAGCTCTCTGCAGAATAGCAGGGTCACAAATAATCCAAAGACAAAATTGTCCAAAAAAAAGACCTTTATTTTGGGTATCCAGCATCATTTCACGTGGGGAAGCTTTCACATAGGCAAAAGCAGCAAAACCAGTGGAGACACTCCCTTGATGTTCAGTTTGGGATCCTGTGTTAATCGTGCTGCCCACACAGTCTTAGGGAAGAGGCAGCTGAGAAGCACGTTGGATGGTAAGAAGTTAGTCTGAAATGAACACTTGCCTTGGATAATTGAAGAGGTGTTCATTAGCGGAGGTCAAAAGCGCTGTGAAATTCTTCCTGGAACCCATCTACCTGGGGACTGCCTTAGAAGAGCGATTATAACAAGGTGTGATGCCATAGATTTAAAAAAAAAATGCTAAATCTCTTAGACTTAACTAAAAAAAATGCTAAATCTCTTTGGATTTAACTCGGCCCAGATTCTTCTCTGCAGAGACTGTGCTTGGTCTTATAAAGCAATGGACTTTGGAATGGGGGATTTCTGAATTTGAGTCTAAATTCCACTACCTACTCATTAGCTGTGTGACCCTGGGAAAATTTTGAGCCTCTCTGAGCCTTGTTTTTTTCAGCTGCAAAATGAGATCATTACTTCATAGGGTTGCTATAGGGATCAGCCACACTATAGATAAAGGATCCGGTATAACGAACACAACATAGTTATTATTCTCATCCTTCCACTGAAATACCGTGAAAATCTCTCACCCTATCACAGGAGAACAAATCCATACTCAGAAAAACCATTTCTCATCTAAAGAAGTGGAAGAGACCCTTGGGCTTCCAGTACTTAGCTGCTGGCCACGAGTGCGTTCGAGGTGGTGGCTGTTAGCATATGCAGAAGCAGCCTGGATTCCTAAAATATTCCCAAAACCAGTAATAGCCTTGGTATCGCCCCCTGTTAAATATAAAACTTAAGTAATTCATTCTATTAAAAAGCCTGGGTTTTATTTTTATCGGGTGATGTGATGAGGCCCTGTTCTAAATGCGCCTCCCGTGCCTGTCCCTATAGCAACTCCGCTGTGCTCGTATATCCATATATTTTTCCTGAAGGCTAATTAAGTTGACAACTGCTAGGGCTTCTTGGTTTACCAGATTTGCACTTGACCCTTCTCTTGGGGCTTAGGGACCCCAATGGATGTGAAGTGATAAAGAAAAGAGGAACAGGTGGAAGAGGCCTCTCTGAGGACCCCTCTTTCAAATAGTTGTCCAGCAGCTTTTGGGGTTGTCAATCACTCTTTCTGGATGAGGGACGGACGAGTTATTGGAGGTGAGTGGGAAAAATGCTAATGTCTCTTGCCTTCCAGGACAATGTACGTGTCTGAATGAGGCACCACTGGGCAGAACTCTCCATGGCTGCCTTTGGTTACCCAGTGAAGTCAACACGCAGGTGTGACCACACGAAAGCAGAGGACTCGCAGCAGAGCCATGTACACGTGGGCTGTGAAGAGCTGTTCTTGTGTTTTTACATAGGTTTGGAAAGCCAGGTTGGACCCTGCAAGAAGGAGTCAGGGAGCAACTTGCTAGCTGGTCCACAGAGGGTCCCCTTCCCTAAGGGCTGGCAGTCTTCCCCAGCTCCCACGCACACAAGTGGGAAGCATGAGCAGTAGCATAATCCAAATTGCTTGTCTTCACCAGCTCCTGCCTCACTCTCTGGTGTTACAGAGCCCATTTCACATGCATTTGTGAACACATGAGTGCCTTGGTCTCCTGGACTGCTGGCACCTGCGCGGATTGCCTTGGGCACAGGCCTTCTGTGTCCTCTGGGCAGCCAATGGGCATTGCTTTTCCGGGAGCCAGCTGCTTAATGTTGTTTCAAACCCAGGGCTACTAGCTTAGCTCCCTTCCTCATTATTATGCTGACCAGTATGCTGACCAGGAATGGCTGAACAGTAGTACATGTGATGTGGATTTGGAGGTTATTTTCAGACCCACTTCTGCAGAGGATTCATTCTCCTTTATGGGCCAAGTTCAGCAGGCTGGTTTCCCTTCTTCTTCAGGATGGATTCTTGTTCGGGCAGCACTTCATCTTTCAGGGAAATAGACTGCTGCTGGGGCCAGCCCATCTTTGTCTTGCTATGTTTGAATCCTGAGACCCTGCTCCACACTCTGCCCTACTCTCTCTCCACTGGGGGATACTCAGCCTTGGGATCTGGTTGTCCAAGGATGTGCAGATTCTGCTGGGAGAAGGTAAAGCCTTCTCAAGACTCATCTTCCTAGGTTAAAGAACTTCGTAATCTCTGCCTTGAGTCTGAGCCCCTGTCTTGCTGCCTCTCACGGTGAATTCCCATCTCCAGGCCTTCGCCTTTCTTCTCTCAGTCTCACTTGCTCTCTTCCCCACCCCTCCCTTTTCGCCCCGTATATACACGCCTAGAGGGTTAGCCAAATGCCAAGGAGGCAGCACCTCAGAGTTGGCTGACCACCACGGCCACACATCTCAGCTGAATTTGCAAAGGGGCAGAGGAGTCAGATAACGTTCTGGAACCTCAGAACGTAAGGGATTTTGGCTCCACTGGGAGTTTTGCAGTTTCTCAGATTTGCCTTTCATGATCATCATCTAATAATACCTACTGCGTGCTGAGGTGGGCAGGGCCCCTGCCAGCCACCGTGCGGAGTTATGTAAAGGACTCAGCCCTTAGTGGCAGGCTCCCCAGTGTGGCATGAGAGGCCCTTGTGTCCTGACCTCTGCTGGCCTCCCCAGCTCCATCCTCTGCCTCTCCCTCTCTGGGAATTGTTGCTCCAGCAACCTCAAGTGGCCTGTTTGTGTCAAGCATACTTCATGCTACCTCCACCTTTGTGCCTTTGTTCAAACTGTCCCCCCTTTAGCAGGGTGAACTGCTTCCCATTTGAAAGACTCAGCTTAAATGTCACCTCCGGAAGCAGTCCCTGACAACTTTCCACCTGTCTTGGAGATGGATTTGGTGCCATTCTCTCCCCTCCCCCACATCCCCGCCTCCTAGTACTTTGCATGTATCTCTGTCACTGCCCTTACCATGCTATGTCCTATCCATTGGAAGGGGTAGTCACTTGAGGCTGCAACGAATCCTTGTTTGCCTCTGTATGTTCAGAACTTAACACAGGGTCTGCTATCCAATAAGGTTTATGAAACAGTTGAATGAAAAAAAGCTTGGAATCTCTGGATTTCACTAGATGAATGATTCTAAAACAGGCCATGACTTCATGGGAGGGGTGATCAGAATTTTGGTGTGGGTTTGTGTGGGGTACATTCGTTTGGAAAAAACAAGGGCCTTTGGTATTATGATTTACATTTTATCATTGAAAAGAGTTATAGTGGAGACTTCTGCTTTCACGTGGTAGGGCCTCTTGGACTAGACCTGCATTCTACTCATAAAAGGCAAGGAAAGTAGACAATTGTACAAAGCAGCTGCTTTTAGACATTGGGTAATATACAGCACAGGGCAATGATCCTACGAGGAAGGAAACAAATAAGCCGGATGCTCAGGTGACATTTCTGTCTGCCTCAAGGCCCTTTCCAGACCACAGAGAAGA